TTAGAAAAGAATAATTTTAAAATATTAAAAATTTTAAAATAAGATTTTAAATAATAAATAAGAGGTTATAAATAGTGATATCTATATAATATTTTATGGGTTATGTATCTCTCAACTTTATTTGTATTTTACAAGACGACCTAAACCAATCCTTTTATAGATTATCGAGGTTTTAATAAATTATTTTTTTTATAAAAAATATAATTTTAAAATTATTGACTCCTATGGACTCAATGGTTTATACTAAAATAAATTATCTTTATTAATAATCAGAAAAAAAATAAAATTGAGAGAAAAATCTAGTCTATTGAACAATCAAGTTCAAACCACTTAAATTCGAAATAAGAAGAAGCCAAGTTAAACATCCAAAGGAGACCAGTCTATGAGAAAAGCACAAAGAAAAGAAAATATGCAATTCTTCAAATATCGTGCAATCAAACTTTGAAAAGTAGCTCTACCTACCTTGTTTGTAATTTTCAATCGCTGAAAACAATTATTTTGTTATTTCCTACAATATATATTTTATTAGAACCATATGAAAATTCAAACTAGCATTATTAGTTTGTCTTCTTTTCTAGGTGAACTCTCACCAACAAGTCATAGTCGATGTCTTCTCTCATTGCCAGGAAGTCGTCGTCACGCCACAATACAGCAGGGCTTCTTTTGGCCAGACGATGCAGCAGAAGCTTCTGGGACGATTGACCAGGTCTTCACATGGTGTGCGCATCCATCGATGCTCTCCTTTCTGTTCTGTGCGTGAAGAAAGCAATGATGTCAACAACAGTTGTGCTAGTCTTCCAACTCTTGCGTCCATCATTTGAGCAGTCCAAAGAGAAACGGATGAGCAGTCCTTTGCACCGTTTGTCCTACGACGAACACCTGACTCCGTTTGCCGCAGTGAAACGTTTCCCCCGTTCTTCACCTTCTCCCCGCGTGACGACGCTGCTGTTGACTTGCGGACCTCGGGTTTTAGATCTTTAAAAGGTTCCGCGGACTCTGTTTCCCTTCACACCAAGAAAGCTAGGAATTGGCTCTGCAAAATGACGATGAAGATCGAGGGGTTGTTCTCTGCCATCGGCCTCCTTCTCCTCCTCCTCCTCCTGTCTCGGAGCCATTTAGCTACATCCCAAGAAGTTGGTACGACTTGATGCTCCATCGACCAAGTGTTCGATGTTGGAACAGGTTTGCATCTGCTATATGTAACGAGCTCTGATGGGTTTGGTTTCTGGTTCCTGAGTGCAGAGGACGAGAGCGAGTTCAGCTACGAGGAAGGGAGTCCTAATGGCCCCCAACGCTGGGGAGAGATTCGCGAGGAATGGGCGATCTGCAACAACGGCGACATGCAGTCTCCTATCGATCTGCTGCATGAGAGGGTCAAGGTTTTGCCCGGGTTAGGGAGACTAAGAAGGAGCTACAGGGCTGCCAATGCGACGCTCAAGAACCGCGGCCATGACATAATGGTAGCTCCTGAACATTCTTTGAGCAAACATCTTCTTGCATCCTCTTTAGTTCATCATTCCTCATTTTGCTGTGTTACACTGATGCAGTTGGAATGGCCGGAAGAAGCAGGAAGGATTCACATCGATGGAACGGACTATGAGCTCAAACAATGCCACTGGCACTCTCCCTCTGAGCACAGTATCAATGGCAAGAGGTCCTCTCCTACTCAAACAACGTCACTGTTCTTCTCTTCCCTTCATTTTTCTGCATGATACACGACGAGAAAACCCAATTCGGACCTTAGCATAGAGTTTTGAGTCTATTTCCTGGTATCTTTCCGCAGGTTTGCTCTCGAGCTCCACATGGTACACCAATCGGCCGACGAACGCGTAGCTGTAGTTGGCATCATGTACAAGATTGGCCGACCGGATTCATTTCTAACAGAGGTGATCTTTCTTTCTCTGCACCATTACTGATGTACTCAGGAAGTCAATCACAAACACCGCTATGTTTCCTTTGCAGCTGATGGAGTACATCGAAGAGATAGCTGGGAACAAAGAAGAAGAGAGAGTTGTGGGGTTTGTGGACCCAAGATACATAAAGATAGGAAGTAGGAAGTACTACAGATACATGGGCTCTCTTACTACACCACCTTGTAAGCAAGGAGTGGTGTGGACCATCAGTGAAAAGGTAAAGTCTGCACCTTAAGCCACTAGCGCAGTTGCAATAATCTCCTCTCTCCATTCTCATAATTGTCTTTGCTGAAACATATATTTGAATCCACTGTTGATCACAGATCAGAACCGTATCAAAAGATCAAGTGAGTTTGCTGAGAGAGGCTGTGCATGATGTAAGTTTTTACTCCTCTGCAAGAAAGCAATTCTTCTGTATGTTTCGATAGAAGAGAGGACAATATCCTGACATCACATTACATCGTCGTTTCCAGGATGCAGAGAACAATGCCAGGCCGCTTCAACCACTTAACGGACGCGAGATCCAATTCTACACACCTCGGCTTCGTAAAAACGATGAGATCTTCCACCCATAAATTTGCAGCTGATGATATATTTCCCGATAGAATCGCAGCTATAGTACAGAGTTATATTGCTTCACGTCTGTCTTATTTGGAGGCACTGTATGGGTTGGGTGGGTTTTCAGCGTATTATGTATGTATTTATGAGGTAGGTTATCACTATGAGATTTCCCGGTGAGCCATGAATATTTTGAGTGTAGGTTATGGTTGGAGACTTTATGCTTATTTCCTTTTACTCATTATATGGAACACACTTATATTACAAGGTTAATGGTTGTAAAGAGCTGATGCAATTGTGTGCTTTGCCTCATTTTCTACATTGATTCACGCTGATTCAAGAACAGTATACAATCAGCTTGAAATCACTGAATTGGAGTCAGAACCAGTAGATCACTATATACAGTCCACTTGATGCTCATCGATTCCAATCTAAGTTAACCCAACCCCGAAACGTGAGATCGGAGGGGCTGAGTTGGGCTCGGACTATCCAATTTGTCCACCCTGGCTCGTAGCATGGGGGACTGCTTGGGTTCTTTTGGCCCTCCTCGTTGATACGTAGTCAGTGGATACGGGGCACGGTCTATTACGTGATACCCCACCAAGCATTGGCTTTCCCGTTTTAGACCCCGAAACAACGTTCCGTTTTCTTCAATCACGACGCTTATCGGATCGGATCCGGCCATTTCTTTGTTCGCCTTATTCCGTCCTTTGCACCGTTCATGCCCTAATCGAAGGGGGAGAAAGGGAAGAAGAACAAGGGAGGAACAGGTGGTCTACCGAGGAAATCGCCGGACACCGGAGCCCTTACCACCGGCAGAGACAGAGGATCTGACGTCATCGCCCACCGACTGAGACGCAGCGCTGGTACTTCTTCTTCCGATCGACCGTTTCCCTTGTTACCTCCGCCCTCCTTTCCTTTTTGAAGTCGCTTTCCTCTTCGATGCTACACCTTCGTCTCTCCAGATCGCGGGCAGATTTCCATGACGAATGGAGAGTGGAGCTGTTGCGTCCTGGTGTTGAGATTGTTCATGTGGCTTTCAAATTGTTTTCGCTCATACTATACTTGTTCGATTGCTTTCTTTTCAGTTGTTTCTTTTTTATGTGGGAGTTTCTGCTTTCTGATTTGTGATAGAAAATTTTGACGTTGCATGCGTAGTTATTCAAGCAGAGATTTCGCTTTCCATGGTTCCTTTTTTATTTTCTATCTATATTGTACGTAGTTTAGAAAAGGCACTACCAAAACAAATAGTTTATAGACATGTAGTTACTGCTATCTATATCCCTTTTTTTAATAGTTGCTTAGTTCATAAACGACAACTGAATTGTTCCTGTTGGAGACAGCCTTCTCTGTTTTGTTATTGAACTTGCTTTACTTGTGTAGCTATCTCTTAATCTTCTTTTAGTTTGTGTAACACAGTGCAGCAATATCCTCTTTTAGTTTGTTTAACATTATGCAGCAATTTCCCTTTGTTTTATATTTAACTGTTGAAATCCCATGTGGTTGTCATTGATGTAAAATCTTTCTTAATGCTTGTTTAAATTGGACAATCTTCACTGGCCTGTGAAAGATTCAGTGTACCTAGGAGATCTCAGACTATTCTCGTGTAGATGTTTTTGTTATTGTCGTTTTGATTGTTCAAATGGTTTTTATGGTGTTTATTTCATGGTAACTGTTGTGCAGTTGGTTAATTGGTACTTTACTGTGAATGTTGAGCCATGACATTTTGCTTTCATCTTAATATCTCAAATTTCAAACTAGCCATATTTATTAACCACACTTTTTCACTAATTATTTTTATTGAATCATGTTCTTCTTGTCTTGTGTACATTTTCCTTTATCCTTTTAGACCTATGAGATGAAATATGAATTTTCTTTTTCAACCATTTGCTATAATGGAAAACCTCACAATTGTTCAAGTAGGCAGTGTTTAGGGAGTGAGAGTGTTGACCTCAGCTTGGGCACTAAATACACACCTGTATCATGATGGCATAATGTTGTAAATATGGTCAGCACGAGGCATTGGCTTGCGTTTCATGGTAGCACCTTGTTATTACTGTAAGTGGTGCAAGTGGTGGTTGTCATGTATGGTATGAAGTGAGGTGTGCTTTGGAGTTTGCACCTTGAACAATCCTTGATATGTTGGATGCATGCAAATACAGTAAGAAGTTGACCGTGAAAGAATGTTCTTGTGCTCAACAATTTATACAAAAACATAAAAAAAGAATTATTGTCATAGTGTAAATGTATGGAACATGATAAGAACATACATAAAATCATGCATGTAGATTCTTATGTATGGTTTGGAGAACAAGGGCATGGATTAAAAAATGCTTAATTACATGGGAGTCATTATTAGTGGAGTGAAATGAATGTTATATAAACCAAGGTTCACTGTACCATGGTGTACCGCTCGATATGAGCAGTATGTATTGGTCCAATAGAAGATCGGTATGGGCGGTACATACCAATCTATCAGTACACCCCATCATTCCGTGTGTCGGTGCATTGGTACATACTGTACCATTGGTTGGTCGGTACAGTGGTACGAACTGATAAGGCGAACTATGATATAAGGATAGGGAAAGTTAACTGGAACTACCTACAAGGAAGTCAGAATTAGGTTATCAAAATAAAAATGTTGAAAATGTAAAATGGAGTATGAGGAGCAAATTCTCTCCTATGATAACCTTGGAAAATATTTTGGAGCAGAATATGTGTAACAAGGATGCTCTCTCTAGCTTTCTATATCTGTACCAGGTATATGCAAGTTATGATGTTTCTGGGATCCTTCTTGAATACGTGTCTACTGCTTCTTCAAAATTATTTTTTTGTAAGTATTTATCACAATCTTTTAAGATATCTAGAAGATACTTTGTAATCATTTCTTGCATGATGACTTATAAAAAGATCTTTCAATCTTTTCTGCTCTCTTGGATTGCTATGTTGTCTTCTTCTTCTTTTTTTTTTTTCTAAATTTATTTTTGGACAGTTAATATGTAAGAATTCCTAGGGGTAATGTAATTCCCACTGCACTGGATCTAACAGTATTTTGATTCATGTTGTGGGATTGTATATCCTGTCCTCTCTCTTGCATGCATCGTATGTGGGTGGTGGGCAAGTGGAGGCAGGCCAGGCATGCACCTCTTTTTCTTTGGTTATTGAGCGTCAATGACAGACAGCAGTGTTCACTTACTGCCATTGCTCTTTTCTTTTCCCCTTTTCCAGCAAAGCAAATAGGTTGGAATCGACGACAGGCTCCTGGTCTGGTTTTGGATGAATTCAATTAATATACCACTTACTAACGTAGCATCCTGTTGTTTTGATACTAAGTGCAGCAGGTCCAAGCATCATAGTTCAATGTTAATAATTTATGAAAAGGGTTCAGCCTAGTTGCTATGTTTGACTCTTCCCAAACCCACCATTGGCTATGGTCTCTTGCCTCTTGCACTCTGTTACCCTTTTGACTGTAGTATGATAGACAATGATAAGTTCTTTAGCTACCAAGGATTAGAAGGCAACATACATGATTTTTTTTATATTTAGATAAATCTTTTTCTTTTCTGATTGCACTTTATAATAAGTGGTTTCTTTCTTTCTTTTTTTTGTTTATATTCAACATTAAATTGTTCTGTTGAGGCTTATGCATACAAACAGTCCTTATAGGCAGTTCAATAGAATAGTCTCTCTGTTACTGGTTCTCACACCTTGGAACCTGTAGGAGCCATTGTCTATGACTACTATGGATATGATTATTTCACAAATGAACATACAAGTTTCTCAAGACTAGGCTGAATTTTCCAAATTGCTCTCATGGTCATACAATCATGTCTATATGCATGTAGCTTGTTACGATGACAAATTGGTTGATGAATTGAGGCTGCGACTTTGTGGATCATGCCTGATGCATGAATTTTTAGGCATCCTCTAGTACAAAAGGAAAATGGTCATTACTGGAAATTCCTTGTTATTACAGTGGATTACGGAAATGATATGTAGTTCTTTTATCTGGTATATAAGAGATATAATCTCCCCATTTATATACATAAAATGCTTTGAAATATTTAGTTATTTCTTTGAGACAGTTTAGAAAATCAACTATTTCTTCATGAGGGAAGTAATCCACAAGAGCTTCAAGGATAAGAGCCATGAAGTATCCACCTGATTTAGAAATACAAAAGCAAATTTGTTAACCAAAGCAGCAGAAAAGCATGAGCTATTTTTGTGGACTCTGTTAGTAACTTCATTTACGGTGGTAAGGTTGCAAAGATTGACCATCCCAAGAGCATTTGTGGGAGCCTTGTGCATTTAGTACATATTTTTTAGTAACTTCATTTTGTAGGAACATTTAGTAATGACTAGTTGTGGAAGATTATTTACCTAACTAACTTCAGTAGCATTTTATTTTGTGAAAACAACTCATGAGACAATTTAAATAAGTGTAGAACCCAATCTTTCCTGATCAGAAGCAAACAAGTCACACTTTGTATGTGAAACAAAAATTTTTATTTGTTTCTTTAGAGCAGCCTTCTTGGACTATACAGCTTATACAATAGCTTTACTTTGGTGGTTCTGATGTCAAAAAGACGTGTTGGTTTCTCTTCTTGTTTTTGCCTGGTTCTTGTGTCAATCTCTCTCGATCTTGGATTTCTATAGAAAATGTTTATATCATTTAAAAGCTGAACATCTTCATTTGATCTAGTAACGCTTTGCATCAGACTGGTTCAAATTACACTTATTTGGTCACAACCAGATGAAAGCTTATCTTATCAGATATTGTCATTAAATTTGTGGTGTAAATTGGATGCTTGTTTTCATTTTTCCACCTTATAGTTTATCAGTACTTATTATTTACCTCAATAAGCATATTGTTTTGGTTTCGTTACAGGCATATCACTGTTGCTGTCACTCGGCTTTCCTGAATCATGGATCGCACCGATGGAGATGATCATGTAAGTGCTATCTCTTAGCTCAGTCAATCATCGACCAGCTTAATTTGCCTTGTAAAAAAGAACACTCATAGTGCAGGAAGGAGGCAGTGTCGTAGGCTTCGAAGTACCAAGGTCGCCCGATTCAAGCTACAACAACCCGATACCGGGAAATGAAGATGAAGCTCGAGAGCCTCCACTTGTTCCTCCTCATCTGCACCATACCTTGCTGAACTACCCCCACGGCCAAGACGATCCAAGCAGTCTTTCCATGCCTCAAAATGTGATCCTGAATCACCTCTACATAGGGAACCAAGATGGCCCGAGATCTGTTGTAGCTCTAGGGATCACCCACCGTGTCCGGTCAAAGTACGTTACAGTTGTGCTCTACAAGCCAGTCCAGAGAAGGTGAACTCCATTTTCTTTTGTCGATTGGGTTAATATTCATGAGAGCCTGACTGCTGTGGCTGTGACCAAACTGACAAAGTGGAAACCCATTCTACAATTACTCATCTGCATAAATGGATCTGATTCTCCTTATCATTTCGCCAGGTTTTTGATGTAGCTCTGCATTCTTCTTACTCAAGTCAGTATTTTGGTTTATGGGAGTTTAGTTGTGTGATTTATGTAATCTAAAATTTCCCATCTATGATATTTATAGGAGGCCGGTAAAACTCCACAGGGAGGACAGAGAGATCATATATGATTTTGGTTCATATTATTATTTCCATATAGTCTGATAAAAATACTCTTCTCAAACAACATTACTTGTACTAATTGAAATTAGATTAGGTGTGTAGTTAGTTCTTGTTTCTCGATCGCCCAAAATGACTGTGTCCATAGCCCTTCTTCCCTTGTTCTGAGGTTATTCTGGTCCCAACCCAAATCAAAACCTGCGGTCTGTACTCTTTATCGGTTTTGTGGACATCGAGACCGGAATCCAAGTGAGACAAATTTTCAACCTTAACATGCTATGAACTGAATCATTCCACAGTCTTCCACTATTATGTTGACCTTCTGCACCACATCTGATAGTAACCCGTCCTGCTCTCTCATGTCCTCCCAATTTGAGCTTCTCTCCTCGTGTGTCAGACCCCAGCAAGATGTAGGAATTTAGTTGCTGTTATCAGTCAAGACTCTTTTTTTTTTTTTTTGTGTGTATATATATATATATATATATATACGGTAAAATTATGATAAAAAAGATTCAAAGTGCATTCATTACATTCTCCTTTTTCGTCTCCCAAGATGTTGGCCTTATCATTAATCATTTCTTCTATTCAGTTTAACGATTAGTCTCATTTGAATCGAAAGAAAATCCAAATATGTCTTTTGACTATTGGAAGTCCATAAGATTTGCTCAATAAGAAAGATTGTGGTCGACTACTTTTGTTATCGGTCTGAGTTCATTTTCTGTCCAAAAACAAAAGAAGCAAGTTCCATATCTTGTCTTAGATCAACAGCAACGTGATGCGTGATGGCAGCCACAACAGCCAATTTAATCATCTAGACCCACACCCGTGTGTCTGGGACCCCACGCATTGTCAGCTACTATCACCGCGCGTGGAAGACTGCCACCATCGCTGACATGGTGGAAACACAGCTCTCAAGTCATTTGCTGTGTGATGAGAGACCTCTCATGTTCCAAAAGCAGCAGCCACAAGCACAAGTTATAAAGAAGCACCACCGTCTCTTTTCCTTTTCAGCTCCTTTCCTCTTCCCTACTAGTTTCATCGCACCATCTCAGAAGCGAAGGAGATGGCGACGGCGAAGAGATCAGAGGAGGGCTTGCCGTGCCCCTCGTTTAGCCGCCGGTGCCGGCTGCTGGTGAGGGAGCAGAAGGCTCGGTTCTACATACTCCGGCGGTGCATCATGATGCTGGTTTGCTGGAGTGATCGCGGCGATCTCTGATACTTGTTTATGAGGAGGACATGGAAGAGATGTACACGTTGTAGTACTTACTACATTCCGCGTGATATGTGGAGGAGCTTTAGTTCTGGGAAATGTAGCTCACGAGGCCATACAACTCATGTATATCTCGTTGAACATAAATCATGGAACTTAATTCCAATGGCTATGCGGTGCACATCGATATCGCAAGTTGCTTTTGTTCTTTATGTTGTTATTTACTTGTGCAGAGGTGTGCTCGACTGACTCTGGCAATTTGGATCCACATCTGGTACATCTGGACACCAAGTAAGAGAAGTTACATGTGATGTGAAGCAGGTACTCCAAAGACGAGCTTCTTCCAACTTAGTTTACTTTCTTTCTTATCATTTGTTTTTCCTGCCTATCCTTTGGAGTTCTTTGCTCTCTCTCTCTCTCTCTCTCTCTCTCTCTCTCTC